ATGGGAACAAATATAGATCTCTTCCAGTCAGTTGGCCAAGTGATTGTTCTCCAGATTTCTTCGCACAACTTGGTGAGCACATCCAGGGCAACATCTGTTATCTGAAATACTTCAGTTCCAACTCTACGGCACACAACAACAATTACTCTAGCTCATAAATGGATTTCCTGTGTATCTGTCTGGTTTACTAACCAAAGAATGTCCTCGAATTGTGTTTAATGATTTGGAAGAAAGAGATAGGAAGCAAAACAAAAACATAAGCCTTGGATATTTCATAATCATGTGCTTAATGTTGTCTTTTGTAGAGTGTTCTCATAGATAAGGAGACTGCAGGTCGCCTGAAGTCTGTGATTAACACGACCTTGATCATCACCAACATCCCCTACATCATCATGGCGCTAGGTGTGTTCTTCGGTTTGATCTTCACAAGGTTTGCATGCAGAGGACAAGGATCCATGGATGAGGTGAGTGGTGGCTGAAAGGATGTCTCTCTTACTGGATAACTTTATTGAAGGGACACTAACTGGCTATTTGAAGGATTCTGGACTTTGATGCTGGGCACAGTGGTTTCCTAGTTATACTGCTGCGGCAAGTGAGAGACAAAGTGTCAAAGAAGGCGAAGTAATAGAATAGTCTCATCTACAATTTTGGGGAATACATACTGGGAATGAGATGTCTGTATGTGTTATCTGGGAGTAATGTTTACAACTATGAAGTCATTACCTTTAAGAAGAGGAAGAATCTATACCAGTCAAACAGTTCTGCTTTGGCATTAGACTGCCTGGCATCCCAGAATAATCCAAGCTCAAGAAACATTAGTTATTATCAAATATGATAAAATAGCTTCACGTTTACCCAACAAGGTAAATAAAGATTTGCCTGAAAGGATCCTTGAGGTACAACGAGATCTCTACTATGAAGTTATTATTGCACAATAAATGATTGGCACATAGCTGTCATTATTTTCCAAGTGGATTGGGGAAGAGGTTAGGCTGGTCTTCCTACGTGATCATCAGGCCAACCTAAGGTCTCTGAGTCTTTTCTCCAGAAGCCTTTCTTGGCTTCTTTTCATGCCAACAAAGACTTCTTTTTGTTTAGCCACCTCAACTAAGTATAAAGTGAATATGAAGTAGAAGCTGAAATAGATTAAAATCATCTGAGTTAGGTTAACTCAGATTTCCCGACCTTCCACAATGTTTCATCATGATTCTGTCTTCATGCAGTCACTTTAGCTGGAATTAGTTGTGAGTAAAACTGTTTGCCATTTCTACCTGTGGTCCTTCCCGTTTGAATTTATATAGTCACTGAAGTTTTCATAAGCACAAATAAAATTCTGTAAATGCTTAAATGCTACTACAGTTAATCCTATTCATATATTCAACTCGCAATTGCTGAGGACCTCCCATCTCCAAGACACTATTCTCTAATGAGTTTTAGGCCAGTAAAGAGGTGAATTCAAAAAATTGTGGTTAAGTCTTATAGTTCAGGTAAACACGAGGGTAAGTTCCAGTATTGAAGTCAGAGGTGGTCAGAGAAGGCCTACATATGTAATAAAGAAAGAAAAAAAGAGATGGGCCAAGAGAGGTGAGGGGGACAATTTGCCTTCCTGTTAGGCTCTTCTCGCCTTTCCTTCCATCACCATCTTCGCCTCCAGGAAGAAGTTTCCAACGTGAACACCTAACTTTCTTGTCCTCGCTCTCGTGTGTTGCAGGGAACAACAGATGAGAGAGCGCCTCTCATTCGAACCTAACCATCACCTAGTTTGGAGAAGGAACTGTGTGAGCCACCCTGACCTGATCCATGTCATGGAAAATCCTGCGCATCCAAAAAGGCTTGTTGCTTATTTTATATAAAGAGAAGAGGGAAAGGACTACCCAATGCTGCAAGTGAGGACATTTGGCCAGCAGATTAAAGACAAAGAATACACAAATGACATGGCCGACCATGGGGCTTTATCAAATCACGTGACCCCTGGCAAATGGGTTTGTTTTTAGTGTCTAGTAAGTATTTAATAAACTCTTGTATAGTAATTTTGTTGTTGTTGGATACTGGTAGCTCCAGAATTTTGTGACCACTGTTGTGGTTATAATGTCTCTGCATCACTTGTTAATGCTACTTGGTCTAGCCTTATGCTGTATGCATCATTCATCAAATCTTGTGTTCAGAAGACATATATGCCATGTTATGTTGAATTCCTTCATTTCGCCCTCAAAATGAAAGTAAATAGAGTTCGGGATCCAGGGTAAAAGTATAGCTTCACTTAACACACATTCAGATGCATCTGAGTTCTTCTTTTAAGTTGCATACTGCCTTTTGTGCTCACTTTCAATTTATAATTCCTTCAGGAGAGTAGTAACTCAATAGTCTCACTACTTTTATACTGGATAGAATTAAATAGGGAGGGGGTTGGGTGGGGTGAGTTCTGTGGGGTGATAAAAGGGACTCATGAGTTCACAGTGATAAGCACCTGAGGGTATCTTTTTACCTCAGACCAAAACCATATTGCTTATTTCCATATTCGTTTCTAATAGTTATTTTTTAAAAAAACCACACAGAAAGTCTGTGGCAAAACCCATGAGCTGCAATCAGAATTTTTAATTGGCTAAGGACATGCCTTGGTAGCTTTCTAATGAAAAATAATAGACTCTTTCTTATGCTCTTTCTCTTGAAGCCACTATTACAGAAAGGTCCCTGAAGACTTTATGATCATCAGCATTGTTGCATGCACAGAATGCAGGCATCCAGTGTTCTGAGAGTCAATTTATAGAGGGGAGAACTAAAACATAGAGAGGTTAACTCACTTCTCTCAGGGAAAACTGGGAGTTAGCACAGGACAAGAAATGGACTTTGTCACCTTTAACACCAGGATTTTCACGCTAGACTTTATTTCCTGTGTTCTTGGGTGCGGGGTCACTAATAGTCAAGTGAAACAAGCACTACACAACTATATTGGAGTTTTTATTTAAGGGAAACTATTTTGAAAGTGTTAATGAGTTCTACAGAAGATGACTCCTAGTTGGTGCATTAGGCATTACTGGAGTAAATGGCTTGTACCTCGCTTAGAGAGAACACGGGTCAGAATGTTCTTCATGTAGTTTATACAGTTGCTTTGTTTATGTAATTCTTGACATGCTATTTCTACAGTTAATGCATATGAAATGTTTCACTAATAAAAAACTGCTGTTTACAAGAAATTGCACTAGAATTTGTGTGTTACATTGTCAGATGTCCATTTGTTGATGCTCTTTGTCCTCTTGACAGATGCAGCCCTGGGTTACACCTGTTGATTTTAGCTCAGCTGGAGTGGGGGGTAAACTTATGACAAGTCCCATTCAAAGCAGGTCCTCAAATCTGCTTTTCTCACTCAGGGCTTTCTCGAGGGCCCTCAAAACCCCCTCAGCAGGGAGTGAATGCCTCCATTGTAAACCCTCAGTGTTGTTGTGGATGGTCTTCTACTGAGCACAACTCACAGTGACCCTATGAACAAATGAAGCCTTTCTATAACTATCGTCGTTTCTCAAAGTTTATAGAGCTTCCAGATGCATGTTGTTTAGAAAGCATATGTCACTCCTGTTTCCAAAACCCTCAATAAAAGATAGAAATTAACTGACAAATGCTCCGTCCTTCAGTGGAACTATTCTTAGGTGATTTCTCAGCTAGCCTGAACCCTCTGAGCCCGTGTGTCCACTGTAATTATCTGCCTTCAATTAGCTTTCATTCCTTTCTTCATATCCTCTCCACTGCTGGCCTGCTGCTTCCTCCCACATCATCTACCTGCAGTAACATCCTTATCTCTGAGTTCCACTTCCAAACAAAAGTGCGAACAAATTCCCCCAGGTGGGCTTGGTAGGTTCAAAGAGAGAGTGGAGAAATACTGGACCTTTTGTTTTTAGGCACATTTGGGCTAATATGATTGCATCTCATTCCTGAAAATTATGCAAATCCAAATAAGTCATAAAATACCTGTCTCAGGGTTGTAAGTGTCCTTATATATAAAGACACCCGGTGACTCCTAGCATTTGTACTCCCTGTACCTGTTGTTGTTAGGTTCCCTCAAATTAAGTATGAGTCATAGCCCCCCTGTGAACAGCCAGCCTGAGCTCTGTCCTATCCTGTGCCACCTTGAGCCCATTGCTGAAGTCACTGTGTCAGTTCATCTCACTGGGGGGCTTCCTCTCCGTTGCTGACCCTCCATCTTTCCAAGCATGAGACCCCTTTCCAAGGAATAGCCTCTCCTAGCTACACGTCCAAAGAATGGAAGATGAAGCTTCGCCATCTTTGCCTCTAAGGAGCACTCTGGCTGCACTTTTCCCAAGATGTATGTTGGTTCTTTTGTAAGTCTAGGTGGTATTCAGTACCTTAATTTTACTTTAGCGGGTATATTTCATGAGAACCTTGTAATTCTTTCTGTTTAATACCCAAAGGTATATTGAGTCTTCTAGAATTTTCTAATGTACCAAACCTAATTATTTTAATATAGAGAATAAAGGGGAATCCAGAAAATACTTTCAAAAGACTGCTAATGAGGTATGCAATGGCATCACATGCTTGGGAAGGTGGAGGGACGGTGAAAGAAAAGAAGACCCTCAATCAGGTGGATTAACACAGTGACTGCAACAGTGGGCCCAAGTGTGTCCGAGATGGTGAGGATGGCACAGGACAGGACAAGGTTCACACTGTTGTTAACAGTATCACTGTGAATTGTATTTGACTCAACAGCTCCTAACAACAACATGGCAGATAAAGTGTTGCCCTGGGAAAATCAGAGTGCAGTGTGTTCCTTTGAGTCAATTTCCTGTGCTAGATGGAAATGCAGACCAGCAGCAGAAGTGGCAGAGAACCGGACACCAAAGTAAGATAGACCTCCTGGGACTGCCACCCCTCGGACCAGGGCCAATGTCCTTTGCCCAAGCTTACTGAAAGACTGGGGCCAGAGAGATACCATAGCTGGTAGGATTAAAAGACCTATATAAAGCAGGCTTGAAGCTTCAAGGCTGAAGGTCATAGGGTTTGGGAGCACATGAGAAGCTGTCCTGCCTGAAAAACTGTAACCTATTTCCTACCAGAATTGTAATCTCTCAACTTCCCTGATAATCATGAGTAGGGTCTGTGAATTCCGTGTGTCACAAGAATTAACTTTATGTTATTGGTGGTGTTAGTGGAAGCCAAACACAAACCATTCTTACATGAAAGGTGGCATGTACTGTCAGGCACTTAGGTATACATATCTAAGTATATGTATCCAAGAGCAGTAATTGTGGAAGGAATTGTGGTACAGGATGAGTGATACTGAATGCAAGGTTCAGAAACACGTATGCATATTTAACCCACAACAAAGGTGGCATTTCCAATATAATAATTGCATTATTCTATTTCTTCAAGTAATAGATTTTTAACCTTTTTAAACCACTCTAATGAAATACATTTTTTTTTATTGTTAGGTATCCATCTTGTGAAGAGTGTTCTTTTTTGTTGACTTTCTACTTTTCTTTTTTAAATTTTTTTATTATTAATTTCAATGAAAATTTACAGAGACTTTGGATTTCCATTCATTCATTTTTGCACTTTTCTCCCTGCCCCCTTCCCCCCCAGTACACTCTTCTCTTTGAAAAGTAAAAGAAAAATTCTTTCATTGTTTTATATGATGTCTTTCTCTCAGGGATTGGTCTCTCCTGGTAACACGCAGAAAGTATGCGAGACAAAATTATACCATCTTTCCTTCTAAAAGACCACCTTGGCTTCACTTTTCCCAAAACAGGATGTTTACATGTTATAAAATTCACCTGTTTGGGGTTCATAATTGAATGGGTTTGAGTAAATGTACCGAGTTGTGGAACCATCACTGTAATCCAGTTTGGGAAACACTTTATCACTCTGAATAAGACAAAACCCCACAAGCAGTTTTATGGTTGATACCAGTTCTGGCATTACATGCAATCAAATCGACTATGACTCTTTGCAACCCTGTCGTGCACCATCCTCACGGTCACCCTCCACACTCAGTCCCACTGCTGCAGTAATTGTGTCAGTCCGTCTCACTGAAGGTCCTCCTTGGCCCAGCCAGCACGTGCCTTTTTCCATGTTAGGCTCCCTCCTGACAATAGGCCCAACATTTGTGAAACAGAAGTTTCACTTCCCCTTGCTAATAACAAGCATCTTGATTGCACTTCCTCCAAAGCAGACTTGTTCTTTTTGTTGTCTGAGATATTAAAAAATACCCTGTCAACACCACAACCCTGTCATCTATCATTCTTCAGTCAGTTCCTTAGTCATTGTCCAACTTCCAGACATACATGAAGCAAGTGAAAATACCATTCTAGCAACCACTACTCTACTTTTTGTGTCTATAGATCTGCCTTTTCTTTACACTTCCTGTAAACTTGTACAATGTCTTTTGAGTCTAGCTTCTTTCTACATTATATTTAAGAATGCATTAGCCTGGTTTTATTAAATACCTACTTTATGCCAAACGCTTCAGGTGACCAACCACAAAGTGACCCATGGATTGTATGGCCTCATATGGGGAGAAACAGACAGTGACCAAATGATCATACAAACAAATGCAAAATTTAAACTATTTTTCACAGTTCTCTGTGAATATGACTCTGAATTGACAGGCGGTTTCCCTGAAGAGGCAACATTTGACTAATAATGAGCTAAGTTAATTGGGCAAAGGGCAAAACATTTGAGACAGACGGAACACAAAGTGTCCAAAGAGATAGAGTCACCATCCTGTCACATTGAGAGGTA